CGGTTTCGATCCAGAGAAGCATTTAGACGCTTACTTGCCTGTTCGAGTCAACGAGCAGAGAGTGAGCAACCTGTTGCAGTCATTGCTAGTAGGAGGTGCAGTGTTGGCAATGCCAGCCATTAAGCTCATACCAACTTCACTTTTATGGGGATATTTCGCTTACATGGCAATCGATAGCCTCCCGGGAAATCAATTCTTCGAACGCACGATGCTTCTCTTCGTCTTACCAAGCAGAAGATTCAAGTAATGTTCTCTAAAAATGCTCTGTTTTTTTTCCTTAAAGATTTCCTTCAAAAGACTGACCACGTTACGTTTTGTTGTCAGGGTCTTGGAGGGAGCGCACGCGTCGTTCGTTGAGAAAGTTCCTTACAAGTCAGTGGCTGCATTCACTCTCTTGCAGATATTCTACTTTGGGCTTTGTTACGGAGTGACGTGGATTCCAGTGGCCGGAATTATGTTTCCGGTTCCTTTCTTCCTCTTAATAGCCATCAGACAATACATTCTACCAAAGCTCTTTAAACCCGCCCATCTCCGAGAACTCGATGCTGCCGAGTACGAGGAAATCCCTGGAACTCCTAGAAACCCGCACGAACTATCTTTCCGGGTGAGTCCATAACCGGACTTAGCTGATATTTTTGCCATTTAAAACGTGTACAATGCTTTGAAATACTTCAATTTGTCGAATTAATGCCGAGTTAACCATTGTGTTTTAGTCGAGTGATTCGACGAGAGGTGCCCAAGAGTACGATGCTGAGATTTTAGACGAGTTAACGACGAGCAGAGGCGAGCTCAAAGTCCGTACGGTCAGTCTTAACGAAGACAAAGGCAATCAGGTTTTTGTTATAGATCATCCTTGACCTTGAGTTAGAATCTTAACTTTTGTTAACAAAAGATTTTACACAAACTCATGTTTTTCCTTGTTCGAAAACCTGCAGATTTATCCCAAGGATGTTGTAGAAACAGGGGATGGGGACTTGAGTGGTACGAGAGAGTGAGTGATGTTTTATCAACAAGAAGAATCAAAGATCATTCTTTCAAGTGGTGATCATGATTGATCAATGTGATCATCATATACAAAACACAACAAATGATATGTGTTTGTCAAGATTATTAAGCATTAATATAAAGTGAATGTTACCCAATTATGA